TATTGTGTCACTGTAGGAGGAGGTGTTCTGGGAGGATTGTGTCACTGTAGGAGGTGGTGTTCTGGGGAGGATTGTGTCACTGTAGGAGGGGGTGTTCTAGGAAGGGGGGAGGATTGTGTCACTGTAGGAGGTGGTGTTCTGGGGGAGCATTGTGTCACTGTAGGAGGTGGTGTTCTGGGGGAGGATTGTGTCACTGTAGGAGGGGGTGTTCTAGGGGAAGATTGTGTCACTGTAGGGGGGGTGTTCTGGGAGTATTTTGTCACTGTAGGAGGGGGTGTTCTGGGAGGATTGTGTCACTGTAGGGGAGTTCTGGGAGTATTGTGTCACTGTAGGGGGGTGTTCTGGGAGTATTGTGTCACTGTAGGAGGTGGTGTTCTGGGGAGGATTGTGTCACTGTCGGAGGGGGTGTTCTCGGAGTAGAATGTCACTGTAGGATGAAAGTGAAGTGTAGGAGGTGTGATGAAGATGTGACCAGTAGTTTCATACTCATACTTCAAGCATAAACGAACATTGTTATCAATGAATTTCTCATGCCATGGACCATTGCAGTCATCAATAAATGTCCAGTGTTAAGGTCCAGTCCTAACAGTGTGTGAGTTGAATTATTTTTTTAAGTCAAGGTGTCTGACATTATCCAGTTGTTACAAACTCGAGGTAATTTGTTTCTAGATTCAGCAACTATCCTCAAGGACCAAGGATCTCCCATGACGATGGACCGGATACCTTTTGAAAGACGTCTTTTCAAATAAAAATTTAAATTCATCCTTGGAATGTAAGGCTTCTTTAAGCCATGTCTGTGTATTTTCATTCCTGATTAGAGATTTCAACAGTTGGCAAGGGAAAGACAATTTAAGGTGCGACTTTCTTCATATCAACACATCAGACACAACATAATTTATTTCCCAGACTCTGGAGCAACATTATGTAAAGCGTGTTTTGCGTGTCCTGATATAGTACACATTCTAGGTGGAGCTGTAAGTTACGACTGTGTACATCAGCGTTGATGTTGGTACATGGCCACAACCTGTTAATGATGCTGCTTTTACAGAGGAGGATGAAGTTGAAGGCTCTGATACCAACAGAAGTGACAGTATTCTGAGAGGAGGAGGAATTACAAGGGTGTAGAGGAACATAACTGAAGATTGACACTCTCGAAGCAAACATGAGTAGTATACCACGGCCACAGCCAATTAAACGGTGTGCTTCCTTCGTTGGAGCGATATGGTTCCAGACAGAGTTACTAAATCAAAGTCCTGGGTCCCGTTCCTCAAAGCGATCGTAACTACCATACTCTAACATAGACTTACGACAGTCATAGCGCTATGATTGCTTTGAGGAACGGGGGCCCAGGGTATTGGTATTCTTCAAAGGGCCCAGGTGGACTGTTTCTGCACAATAAGGCAAGGACAAAGCATGATAGTGGCCGTTTCTGTCATACAGGCTCAGCCCAATTTTACAAAACAGTAAACATGTTAGAAATTGTTTGGCGAGTTATCAGATGTGTTCATAATGAACAAAATTCCAAACTGAGCCCAGAACAATCCCTAATTTCACCTAGAGCTGAGGCAATGTAGAGTTGCTAAATCACTCTAGGCTTGGGCTACACTTTATCCAATAGGTTATGGGAGAAAGGCTGCCCACTGGTAGCACCAGCCAAATTTGAAAAAAATACTTTGTGTTCGTTGCTTGTGTTGATGTTGCACAGAAGATTTTTACACATTTTAGCTTCGACAGATATCTGGCCTTTTCATAATTTAACCTTATGTTAATAAAATGAAGTTGAGGAAATGTTACCAAGGTGATATGTCAAGGACACACATGGACACATTACATATTTTGATCTGTCCATGACCACTTCAATAGTCCTTATTCCACACGCCAGATCTCTTGCTACTGCAGTTTATGGTAGTCACATGACATGGAACATTTTATTCTTACAAATTGGCCTCCATTCTGAAGTAGACGTAGGTTGACGTAGGCTAGATTGAGTGAGTTCATTGTACCCATGTAGGGTATCGACCCCAGGTCTTCAGGGTGATTAGGCTAACCCACTACCCCCACGATGATTGAACAGTGAATGGGTTTGACAGTAGCCATTTTGTTAGTCTGTCGTACAGACCCTGAAGCAAATATATCCAAGAAAGCCCACGCAAGTCTAGAAAATGTGGCAAGTCTAGATTTCCTCAGCTCTGAAAATGAAGAAGTCTCAGGGCTCCTTTTCATTATTTTATATTTTTTTTTACTATGAACTTTTTTCAGTAAAATATGTTCCTTTCAGAGACTAGTTGTTAGTCTACCATTTTGTCTATTTATCATTATCATGTGATCACTGACTGATGCCGAAACTCCATTAATCAGAAGGCTGTCATTATAGTTAGGGACACTTATACATTGATTCGCCATATATTTATACTGGTAGTCCAATCTATCACATCTTTTTAAAGAAAACAGTGAGTTAGTGAGTGAGTGAGTATAGTTTTATGCCACTTTTAGCAATATTCCAGCAATATCACGGCCGGTACACCAGAAATGGGCTTCACACAATTTACCAACGTGAGGAATCGAACCCGGGTCTTCGGCATGACGAGCAAATGCTTTAAACACTAGGCTACCCCACCACCCCTTAAAGAAGACAGACAACATAATATATTCAAACTATTTATATACAAAATTGATGTGAAACTGGTTTCATGAGTTTGTATGAAACGTGACATGATCTACAATGTACAAAGCAGTGAGTTGAATGTTGTAACAAGTGACATGATTAGTCATTTTACAGACTTGAATACAAGCGACGCAGTTCGTCATGTCACACTCAAAAACTAAATATGAACAACATTATTTTCATGACATGGTGATATTTACAAGTGTGACAATGACAAGGAAGCAATGTTTACTTCATATACATACAAACTATTACAACAAAGTTGAGGACCACTCGATTGTTTCTGCCTCAGGGTTAGTGAGTGAGTGAGTATGGTTTTACACCGCTTTTAGCAATATTCCAGCAATATCACAGCAGGGGACACCAGAAATGGGCTTTACACATTGTACCCATGTGGGGAATCGAACCCGGGTCTTCAGCGTGACGAGCGGACGCTTTAACCACTAGGCTACCCCACCGTCCTAGCAAGGTTATCTGTAGCCATACAGAAGGATATTGTCGTCCTGAACTTTGTTTGCAATTAGCACTTGAATATGACATATCTTGAAACAACAAAGATTAATTTGCTTTCTGTCAAGTAAAGATTGGTCATAATTGTCAATATATACCACTCCTCTTTTGGTAGGGATATTTTCATCTGTCCATGATACAGAAAACATATTCTTGCAAAATGTCAAGTGTACCTCTAGAAATATGAGACATATTTGATTATTACTATCAAAAGTGAGTGAGGGGGTTTTACAACACTTTTAGCAATATTCCAGTGATATCATTGCAGAGGACACCAGAAATTGACTTCACACATTGTACATATGTGGGGAATCATGGGGAATTAACCCAGTCTTTGGTGGTTAAGACTGAACACTTTAACCACTTGGCTACCCAACAACCCATTGTGTGTGAACAGTAAATGTACTCAAACAGTCACCAAAAGAAATGATAGCACATGTAACAAAATGTCCTTAAACAGAATGCAAGTTATAAAGTAAATCACAAAATAGATCAGTTTTTCTCAATGTGACTGACTGACTGAGTTTAGTTTTACGCCGCTTTTAGCAATATTCCAGCAATATCACGGCGGGGGACACCAGAAAAGGGCTTAACACATTGTGCCCATGTGGGGAATCGAACCCGGGTCTTCGGCGTGACAAGCCAACGGTTTAACCACTAGGCTACCCCACCGCCCTTTCTCAATGTGACAGGTGGTTACCAAAATTAACTCAATGAAAAGGATACTGACTATTTTATCTCTGTAAACACGTTGAACATTTACAGCAATCTTTAACATTATTATCATCGAACCGAGCAGCAAGCAAATTAACTGACAAGACAAGCTAGGAAACTTTGTGGACAGTCTCATAAAGTTCTGAAATAGCCTCCCCTGTTCCAGAACACACTCACCTAAATACTCGACCCTCCGCTGAATTCCACACAAAGAAACACTGTTGCACTGATATATTACATAAAGTAAATATCTTCCGCAAGAGCTCTCCTAATTCATGGCTAATGTCTATCTGTTAAACTACAGACACCCTAAACACTCCTACATCAAGTGTGAGGTGTAAATATTGCCTTCATTTAGGGTCATGTTCAAACATATCCTAATTCTTTTATAGCCGTTGTGGGTTTCCGTTCCTTCATCAAAGACATTATTGCCAGTTTATGTATTTGGACTCAGTCTCCAGCTCGACCAGGACAGTGTTTTGTCCCCGTGTTTTATGGATCTCGTAGTGCGGACTTTGTTTTATGCAGGTAATCAACTGATAATTTACACCTGATGTCCCTGTGTCTCGCCCTTGGTTGTAAGGTATGGCTGCAAGATTGCATGCGACTGTACTCATTAGACTGAGGGGGACAGGTGTAACAGGTGCTTGTCAGGTGTCAGTGTAACATCATACTGGGCTAGACTCTTGACAAACATGGGTTATCAGTGACATGCAGCTATATTGCAACATGGAAAATTATCACTTTTATAGCCACTGAAGATTTGGGTTCGAAGTGTTCATACATAGTGTGACATGCCATCTCTACCATGCCCACATCCACCTGTCTTCCTTGTACTCATTTCTAATAGCCTACGACCCTCTCGTCCTGGTACAACCCTTACCCTAAAAGGTCAAGCCTAAAACATCAAGCACCACCCTTGTATTACCCATCCCATGATACCCCTATTGTACTACCTCTATCTACCCATTTTGACCTTATATCCATCCACCCCCAAGCTCCAACACACAGAGGCTCAAGAGACCTAGACAGAGACACAGACAGACACACACACGCATGCATGCGCGCACACACACACACACACACACACACACACACACACACACACACACACACGCACACGCACGCACACACAGAAGCACAACAGGCAGACAAACAGACAAACAAACATGCTCAGACACACACACAAAAAGAAAAGAAAAATGGCCAGCCATACTACCAACTCCTCTTGCCATGCCCCCAACCACCAGGCCCCCCTGTACATTAGGAGCATCAGAATAACCACCCACCACTAATGCACTTGTCACTGAAAGGATTCCACACAATCCTCCACGATTCCTCCTACATTCTGACAGTGTTTATATCTGTTGAGCAGCAGACTGGGTCGCGATGGTGCAGGTTCTGACATCTTCAGTCCAGTGACGGCAGCAGTAACAGCGGCAGCACCAGCGGACGTAGACTGGCCCATGGTACCTGTGGCTGGTCTTGCCATCAGCTTGAGTACATCCTACCAAGCCAGAATGCCCCTGTCATTCCTGGAATAAAATACAAGAAAATAAACATTTGCCACATAAATAAGCAATTCTCAGGATCAATCATATTACTTGACAACATTTTCACGGATCAGATATACGACACTTGGTGGTTAAGCCTCTCTACATATTTCTTTCACAACAGCACTAGACAGTTTGAGGTCAACCATGGATCTTAAAACTGCCCCAGAGAAAATAGCCATGGGTTATACTGAGTGAAAGTGTTGTCAAACAACAAATAACATCTTTTCTAGAATAACAGCATTATACATTTTAAAAAAACAGACTGTCGAAAAGAGTCATTCCACATATGGTTGCTTGATGTTAGTTTTACATCACATTCAGAAACATATGATGATGGCCTGTAAATCACCGAGGATGGTCAGTGACAGTAAGCAACCATTCATGCCATCAAGGTACATTTGGTCGATACGATGTCACCAAGTCTGACAACCTGATCTATCAAGTTCGATGACAAGCATAGGATAGAAAATCACCACATGGAGAGTTTACGTTTGTTTGTTTGTTCCTTGACACCGCACTCAGCCATATTCCAGCTATATGAGAGTAAAAAATCAAGTCAGGACCAGACATTCCAATGACTGACCTTACGAGCATCATACTGGGAAACAATGGCATGTGGTACTATTGTTAAATGCACTTCTTTGCCAAAGTATTTGTTATACATACATACAAATACTTCTATAGCGCCAGAATCCGATGTAATCACCCAAAGGCGCTCTGAGTCCACGCTGGAGCTAAAGGTAAGCTTTGGTAAAAAGATGAGTCTTTAACTGGCTTTTGAAAGATGCAAGTTCAGTCAGTGATCGAAGTTCTTGTGGTAGATATTTCCAGAGTTTTGCACCATTCGAAGAGAATGCTCGGTCACCAAAAGACTTTGTTCTTGTACATTGAATTTGCAGAAGAGATTGGTCACTGGAGCGAAGTTGTGAAAGATACCCTATAAGATAACTATAAGTGTTTTGTTACAAAATAAATAACCATCACATACATCTATTCTTTGTCATCATTTTCTTTTAAATATTGAAAAAATATCTATTACAATCAGAACTAGTATGTATGAGGTATACATTGTATAGATGTATAACCTTTTACTGTAATACAATTTTAAAAAAAGATATTATTTTTTTATACGGGGCCTTTAATTTTGACTAGGGGTTTGCCTCCCTTTCGACTTTCTTGCAGACATTTTGACTTTTCTGTTTTGGGGCCCTTTTTTCATGCGGCCCTTTTGACCTGTTTCACACCACAATATACCAATGAAATGTTTGTTGGTTTAACGCTGCACTCAGGAATGTTTCAGCTATATGATAGTAGACTGTAAATAATCAAGTCTGGAACAGACAATCCAGTGTTTGACTCATGACCATTGATCAAGCACCATGGATTTGATGACAAGCATAAACTAAGTCCACAAGACTGACCATCCGGTCCCATTACAAGCCTTCTGTTCTAACAACAATCGGGGCTTCTGAGGAACAATTTGGGCCTGGATAAGGGGCTGTTTACATGTGTGTTGAAACTAAAATAAGCAATACGATCTATGTGATAATCACTAGGGGTGACTATTGAGGAGGAAAAACTATTGCTTAATGCTATAGTGATAGTGATAGTCTATTGCAACATACTATTGCGATAGCGATCGTCTATTGGGAAAAACTATTGCTGTTGTTGTAGTTTTTTTCCCTTGAGTTGTCGCATTTGAAGTCATTTCCCAAATGAATGTATAGTAATAGATATAAATAAAAACAAGTTGGAGTAGTTTCAGTCTGGATTTTCCAGCTTTGTTATTCACAATTTCAAACTCCAAGTCGTATGCTGTGGTTGCCGCCATGTTTGTTTAAGAGGTAACAGGGGCAAATAACTCTAAATCAAAGTGAAAGAATCTGATACTTCCTGTATTTTGCGCTGCACATTTATCAAAGGAAGTCAATAACTAAACTATCGATAGTCACACATACTATCGATGCATCGATAGTTTTTCATTTCTACCATCGATTAATTGCTATCGGAGACTCAACAACTGCAATCCATCAATAGTTCGATGCATCGTTACAGCCCTAATAATCAGACATCAGATGCATTAGGTACCGGTACTAACATCAAGCAGAAAGAGCTTATGGCATTATGAAACCTGCTGTTATTACTTTCACACTTTTTACATCTCAGAACTGAAAGAAGATCCCAGCTATGACATCTCTATACAGTCCAATCTTATATTTAAAATGTCTGTAGAGAGCAATTACATTGCCATTTTGGCATCATTATGGTGAATGTATTGGTAGATATCTAATAATGTATGTTGCAGGCATAACAGCATACAAAATATTTTGGGCACATTCTGATCGATTCTGCTATGGCACTGACAGCCACGCACCCAGATTGATATTGACTAGCAGCATCTCCTAAGAAACCTGAAAGTTTATAAACGTGAAAGTTTATTACGCGATCCAAGCAATGGTGCCTATGATATTTCTCTGGTTTGATTAGTGGTATAAGTGTTTGGCCGTCATATCGAGGACCCGGTTTTGATTCCACATATAGGTGTAATGTCTGAAGCCCTTGTGCCCTTCCATGATACCGCTGGAATACTGCTAAGAATGGCATAAAACAACCAACCCACTCACTTATCAAAGTTAAACATGGCTGTCCTATGCCTTGTAACGTGATCAAGCCGTCTCCACAGTTCACTTTATTGCCAATCTGCACAACTTTCACATTTATGATCTGACAAGGCAAGCTGCTAAAAGAGTCAATGCAAAATTCTTGGGAATATATTTTGAATGACTAGATTCCGACCTGACAAAGGCATTGTACTTCATCATCTGCCAAGAGTTACTGCCTAGCAGAAAGGGCTGAAGATGAACAGATGTTCTTCACAGTATCAATGTACTGCCGAACTCACCGATTTGATTGACAGTTGTCTGGTATCATTACGAAAAATGGAAATTTAACCGGCTTTACAGAGAACTGTAAGTCTTCTAATACCAGCAATTAGTACACTTAGAGCTGCGGCCTGGTCTATCACTGTGGTAATCTAGCCTAAGCCAGTCAGTCAAGGCAGAGAAGCCCTAGGCCATGACTATATCACTGACTGCCGGACTATCTTGCTGGGGATCTTGCAAATACATCTTCCAGGAGTGAGTGAGTGAGTGAGTGAGTGAGTGAGTGAGTGAGTGAGTGAGTGAGTGAGTGAGTGAGTGAGTGAGTGAGTGAGTGAGTGAGTGAGTGAGTGAGTGAGTGAGTGAGTGAGTGAGTGAGTGAGTGAGTGAGTGAGTGAGTGAGTGAGTGTTGACTAAATATTGTCTCCAGCTTATTGTCATTTACTGTTCGATAATAAGAACATGTGTTAGTATTTTTTGAGTGAGTGAGCAAGATTGGATGAGTGAGTGACATCACAGGCTGCATATATCTAAGCTGCATGACAACAGTGAGTGAGTGAGTGAGTGAGTGAATGAGCTAGTGAACAAGACTCAGGGAAAGACTACAGTACATATGTTACAATAGCTGACCATCTTTCAGGTGATCGTTCAGATGTTGTCTTCTAGGAGTGGTTAAACAGTACTTTGATAACAATCACTCTGTGAACTGGAAATCAAATCCTGCTGATCCTTATCTATTTCAACCCGTGAAGGTCCGGGTTAGATTGAACCTTCAGTAACCAAATGCTTGTTGTAAGAGGCGACTAACGGGATTGGGTGGTCAGGCCTGCTGGCTTGGTTGACACATGTCATTGGTTCCCAATTGCGCAGATCGATGCTCATGCTGTTGATCACTGGATTGTCTGGTCCAGACTCGATTATTTACAGACAGATTATATATTTTCCATATCACTGGAATATTGCTGTGGGGTGTAAACTAAACTCACTCACTCACCTTATCTATTTCAACGTAAAATGGTCATCATTCTCACATGCTACACACCATGTTCCACTCAAAGGACATGAAAATTAGCACACTAAAACCCACATGCTGTATACTAGTCAAAAGAAGTTAAGGACAATCCAATTATTTGATATTCTGGCAAACATGTCATGACAGCGTAACTATAGCAACAGAAATAAAAAATTTTTAACATTTTGTTGCATTTTTTAACATTTTATACAAAACAAATAACAATGGACTGACTGACTGAGTTTGGTAAATTGACATGCCACCAGAACGTGTAGAAAGCAAGCAATATTCCAGCAACATCCTGGCACCAGAAATGGGGCTTGAAGAGAGAATTTATTGGATCATTGTGCCCATGTGGGGATTGCTTTAGCAACCCGGTCTTCGCATGACGCAAGCCAGAATAAATAGTTGTTTCTCTATCTTTAATCATATGTCTTTATATCCTACTAAAACAATGTTTGTTGGCAAAACAATCTAGTATCTTTCATTACATCTGAAATAATGGAAGCCATGACAGATTCACTACGATCATCTGAAAGATTAGGGTGATCCTTAACTTCCTTTGTGTAATATATGTACAATATATTCTTGTATCGGATACTGACTTCAAATCATAAAGCATCAAATCAAATCTCCAGTGTCTCAGTTAAAGGGTTAACCTTGTTAGTCGGAACCCTTCCGGTCACTATCTCCCACAGGATCCACTTAACCCGAATAATCCTTCAGGTGATTCACATGATTGAAACTAATGATATCATCATTAGTGAAAGTGCACAGTTCCTCCAATCACTTCGGCAGAGCACCTCAGACAACTGTGTCAGGATCTATTCCGTTGGTGTCATTCTCCTTCACAACCTGCCTATCTACAATCAACTATTTCTCACATTGCAAAGACAGGAACGATGCAAATGAGTGAGTGAGTTTGGTTTTACGCCATTTTGAGCAATATTCCTGCAATATCACGGCGGGGGACACCAGAAATGGACTTCACACATTGTACCCATGTGGGGAATCGAACCCGGGTCTTTGCGTCATCAGCGAATGCTTTAACAACTAGGCTACCCCACCGCCCCCGGAACTACGCAAAC